CAAGAGAGACGTAATAATTATATAGTAAAGACAAAAAAAAAAAACAACACCATTTGGAGATTCAAAGTAAGTTTCATATATGAAAGAACTTATGCAAAAATTTATATCAAGATTTGAATTTTATACTGGGTAAAATATTCATGTACATGTTAATGCTAAAAGCCTAAAACACACACACACACACACAAAGTTTTTATTCTTTACATCTGACTTAGATTAATGAATAAGAGTTTTACAAGTTATGTAAAAGCCAAATAGGTACTGTTTCTGTATTTTTTTGTATACTTTAAATTTAACATATGCTATTTTGAACTTTAATTAATTTGATAGATAGATATCTTATTATTTATATTTTTGTTTAAACACAAATATCAACATATAACATTTAAAAGATAATGGAAAAAAAAACTTTGATTTCGAAATAGAAAGATGAACTGTAACTTCAAAACTTCAAATATGAAAATAACACTCTCTACTTTTTGGAGTAAAAAAAAAATGAAATTCTTTAAGAGAAAATAAAATAGCCTCAAGAACTTTAACTTTATATGTAACTTCTGTTTGGTTTGGAATTGGATTACCAAAAAACTCACACTCTCATTGTAAATTACTGAGAGCACAAGCAACAAAGCAGAGGAGAGAAACAGAGATGCAAGAAACCCCCAGCAAAATCCTCCTCTTGCTTCTCCTCTTCTTTCTAATTCTCTCACCTTCCACACAAAACCCACAAGAACAAGACATATACTACTGTGGTAACACTCCAATCCCAAACCCATCTAATCTCATAACCTGCAGATCTGGAAAACTCTACTTCAAAACCTCAACTGGTCTTCTCTCTCATGTCTCCAAAACAGAGGAAGTGAAATTGAGAGCAAGGGTTTCTATAGAAGTCGAAGGTCACATACCTGATTTATGCATCTCCTGTGAGAGACCTGATGGTAACTGTGGTGTTGCTCTAAGATGTCTCTGTCATCCTAAAGAGTGCAGTTAAGTCTTGACTTTATTACAATGGAGATTATCTCTCTGTGTTATTGATGTTTTGTTTTACTCTGTTTCTTTGCAGAGAATAAAGTTGTAAACTTTGGAATAAAGTCTCAAGCTTTATCTGGTAAAACACAGCTTGTTCTACTTATGTCAATGGGTTTGTTTCTCATCTGGTTTTGAATTTGTAAATTTCACTCATATAGCTTCTAAATTAGATACTTTGATACAAATTTGTGTGTTGTGTTTCCTTATGGAACACAAGTTTGGATATAATCTATGGTTGTTGTTTGTTTCAATGTCTGGTGCTTGGAAAGGAGTTATATACATCTGGTGTTGTAATAGAGATGAATGATAATATGATTTTGAGTTTATCATGGTTACATACAACTCTGGTTTCTCCTTTGGTGGATTATGATTGTTTTGTTATGTTTATGAAGTTCATACGAAAGCATAAACCTAACTGAACCAGTTCAGTTCCTTGAGTGGCTAGAATACTAAAACAGGCAATTTAAAGTGGATATTAAGAGGTGGAAGCTGTTGTGTTGGAGGGTACAGATGTGCAGAAGCAGAACCAAGAACTAGAGTAAGAGAGAGTTAGTTTTGATCTCTAAAGGAGGTAGCTTTGTTCTTCATATTTTCTTCCACTAGTCTTAGGATCCGAGTAGCAGGTCTTTGTAAGGGAGTGTGTGATTTTTGTTATTGTGTTTACGCCAAATCCCATAGACTATAACGTGTGAGGAAAAGATTAGTAGACCACGCTAAGATTTGGGTAAACATAGCTGATAATTCAAGTCCATGACTTGCTAGTCGGACTTGTTTGTGTAGAGGGAGGAGCAGTAACATAGTCTGAGAGAAATGGGGAGGTGAAAGATGTGGTTGTGCCATTCGTTGTGAAAACGCTATAAGAGACATATGTTATCAACTTGGAGACCCCAATTGATCAATCTGTCTGAGTAGGGTGTTGATTTGGTGCAAAAGACCACACCAAAGTCCCTGTTTTTACTAGATGGTTGTCACCTTGTTGGCTTGTAGCCCCTTAACAAAGACGTAAAGACCAATAGAACCGTATTCGTCATTGTTTCATCTAACTCCTTTAACTTCGCGCTTTGGCTTGAGTGAATGGGACCTTATTCTAGTTATGAATTATGCATCCATGTTCTTACTTTCTTTGCCATTCTCTATAGGTCTATAAACATCGATTGTAAACTTAACCAGGATAGACAGTCCTACACGCCATATACATATAGTTTCTTTTAGAGTAAGGTAAAATGAGCTTCAAATCCAGTAGCAGGGAGATTGCGATAACCTCATCGCGCAATAGACGCTAGAGAGCTTAGATTAAAGGAGATCGCCGCGGATGGATGTACCAAATGTGAATACATACAAGCTAAGTTTCAAAGTCTTGTGGAAGTCTAAGAATAATGTGACTAAGGAAAGACTTATCTCCTCAGATCTCCCCCATGAAAAGATATTTCTCACTACAAGAGTATAACTAATACATAAAGACAAAATTGATATTTGAAAAGGTAAAGTATATTATTATTCAAACACTTCTTCAAATATTACATTTTCCTTTGTGACACTTTGACCAATATAATTTGGTTTGCTTTTGTTTGGAAATAATATTGTTTTATGAAAAGTAAGCCTCTATGTTTGAATGGTCTCTTTATTGAACTTCCACGAAATAACACTTAGTAAAGGAACACTAGGGATTTAGTAAATATGATATGGTCATTGTCTCTACATGAGTCCCCTTTTGATCAATCTTTCTTTCCTCGAACCTCAGTTTCCTCATTGTACGTATAATTCTTCCCATGTGAATCCCTAACAACGTACAAAAACATATACTTGAAAATTGAAATAAAGCAACTATGTATGAGTGCTAATTCGTACCAAGAACTCTCATGTGAAGTATAAATGTCATAACATGGAATGGTACAGAAGTAAGCCTTTCGAATTAGTTTATCACATCGCGAAAATGATTGTATGGAGCGGTCTAGTTCGTTTTAACGATCATATATATCGCTAAATAACAAAGGCGCAATGAACAAAAGAGATCTACCTTGAATTGGTATTTGGAGGGGTAGGACCACCACATTTGATCTTACAACGTTCAAAGCAATTTCCATCAAAATCGTTGCAATCACGAGAACAATACCGAAAGCAAGCTATCCAAGTCCTTCTATGTCCATGACCATGAATATGTCTAGCTTCTCCTCCTCCTATTGCAGCAATTACAACCAACATTATCACCATTATCACATTCCATTTTGCCATTCTCTTTTTCGTTTACCTTTACCTGATGAATCGTAACGTTCTATTTATAAGCTGTGTACTACATCTCTATATAAAGTTAGTTTGCAAGTGATCAATCTGAATTGGTTTAGTAACAAATTTGGATTTTGACTACATATTAAATGATTTTTAATTCTGTTTACCTTTTTTTTTCTTTACAAAAGATTCCAAGTTAATAAGGTCAAACCTTAAATCAGTCAAGAGTATAAATTGGTAATCAGTTTAGTATTATTCTATATTCTGGTCTTCTTCTATCTATGGTTTTTTTTATCTATTACGTTTTGAATATTTTGGTTTTTCACGACACTGAAATTTTTGTTTTGTTACACCTTGATGAACTGTAATTTAATTTTGTTTATACAAATGACTTTTTTTTTATTTGTTTTTTTTATGGGCGAAATATTTTTTCTTTTGTCAACTTACTAATGGTTAAACTAGAGTATTTTCTACATATTATATTATTACTATATCTTTCTATTAAATATTTTTAAGTTTAAGTCAATGTACTTGTACGTTTATATTGTACAAAACATAAGGTTTAAATGGTAAATGAGGAATATGACTGTACCTGGCTTATTTTTTACATTTTAAAATGGTAATATTGATTAATTAGTTTAGCTTAATTTTTGTTACTTTTTCCAAAATAAATTAACAAAATTGAATTATTTCCATTTTCTATTTTGAATTATTAAAATTATGTGAGTAATTAATATAAAAGCTTTGTCAAAATATTATTAAGAAAAATAATTTTAAAAAAGCATTATAGTATAGTACAAAATTAAGCACTATTGGTGTAATTTTTGATATCCAAAATTTTCGCTATTATCTGAATTTTTACCCGAATGAATATACACATGTTATCGGCTGTTGAAAAAGCCGTTGAATCTAGCTGAATTTAGTTGTATGCAAATGGTAACTGTGGAATTGATGAATCTCGTTGAATATATTTATAATGTTATCATTTACGCCCTACAATAATGTTTTTTATACAAATTACACTATAATAACCCTATTTTGTATATATACTCAAATACAAAAATTAATTTTCTTTTAGTTGTAAGGTTAATTAAAGAGTAACAATTTTTGCACTAAATTTTTTGAAAACCATCTTTTAAAAGAAGTACACTTGTACATGAAACAAAATTTAGAAAACCCCACCACGTGTTTGATAAACCGAAGGTTGTGAACCATATGTTTTTAAGCAAGTCTTAAAAATTTTCGTTTTAACTTCTTACTGCGCATGTATTAAAACCACACGCTTCAACCAATTATTTCATCTACCATTAGATTAATTACTAGAAACTAGGGATACTAAAATGAGTAAACCGATTCAATATCCAAAAAAATTATGTTACCAATCAAATAAAACTCATACTATAATCGGAAATGATTGATCATAAGGGCATCTTTAATGGAGTTATCTTAGCTAAATCGAACAAATAAGTGATACACATATTCAAAAATGTAATTGACCTACAACTTCAGAATATATACAAAGTTGTTGTTTACTATATGTAGTATATGTGTCCATTATGGTCTGCGCATGCACTCACATATTGACGATCGTGTCAAAGTAAAAAAAGGTGAGCTAACCCTTGTTATTATTCGTGGACATATACATTCCACATAAGACAAATGAGACTTTAGGCCTATTACTTCAAATGTCTTATATTATATATATTTTATCAAAACATATACATTTAAAAAAAAAAAACATATACATTTTCGTAAGAAAATTTATATCATTTGAAAGAAAAAAAATCCACTACTATAGTAATACCAATGAAATTAAGAACAAATCTATGGACGTGATAAGCCAACAATATAATACAAAACCATGGTAAAAAAGAACTATGAAGATTAATATCGCTTTCACGTAAACTAACAATATAATATATTTTGATAAACAGTATTATTATTTTACATTTTATAGTTTCTTTTTACTTTCAAACTAAAGCTTTCAGAATAATAAAATAAAATTTATAGAAATTACATGGAAGGTGGTAGGTGAAGGATTACACCAAATTACAAAACGTCAAGACTCATTTTACAAAAAAATACAAAACTTATTCTCGTGTGTATATATATAAGACCATCTCACTTCTCCCTTTTCTCTCAGCTTTGAGCTTCTCTCTCAACGAAAGAACTCAAGCTTCTCAAACTCTATAAATCTTTCAATACGCCGCCGTTTTTGATTTTTGTCATACCATCATTACTAAACCATGCAAGCAGCTACGTCGTCGTGTGATCTCAAGTTCCGATCATCTCTTCCGACAGCTAAAAACCAACGTTTCACCCACGCGGTTCCAAAGCGCGTGGCTGTTACGTGCGGTTATAAGTCGGAGTCTTTTAGTTTCCCTAACGGCGTCTCCGTGAGTCGATCTGATTGGCAAAGCTCATGTGCTATTTTGTCTAGCAAAGTTGCTTCCGTTGAAAGTTCCGGCGGTTTAGCCGATAAAATCGCCGCCGTTAATGGTCACACGAACGGCTCCGTCAATCTTGGTATTGTTCCGGTTGAGTCGACTAATGTGAAATTAGCTCCGGTTCAGCCTTTGACGATTACTGATTTATCTCCGGCACCGTTGCATGGTTCTAGTCTCCGTGTAGCTTACCAAGGAGTTCCCGGCGCGTACTCGGAAGCAGCCGCCGGAAAAGCTTATCCGAACTGTGACGCCATTCCTTGTGACCAGTTCGACGTTGCTTTTCAGGCGGTGGAGCTTTGGATCGCTGATAGAGCTGTGCTTCCGGTGGAGAACTCACTCGGTGGTTCGATACATCGGAACTACGATCTTCTCCTCCGTCACCGTCTCCACATCGTCGGGGAAGTTCAAATTCCCGTTCACCATTGCCTCCTCGCACTCCCAGGAGTCAGGACAGCTTGCGTCTCGCGGGTGATTTCTCACCCGCAAGCCTTGGCTCAGACAGAACACTCCCTAGACGTCCTTACACCACACGCGGCGCGTGAAGCTTTCCACGACACAGCTGCAGCTGCAGAATACATCGCAGCTAACAACCTCCACGACACGGCAGCTGTTGCAAGCGCACGCGCTGCCGAGCTCTACAATCTCCAGATATTAGCAGACGGGATCCAAGACGATCCCGGGAACGTCACGCGCTTCCTAATGCTAGCGCGTGAGCCTATCATCCCACGCACGGACCGGCCTTTCAAGACGAGCATAGTCTTTGCTGCACAAGAACACAAAGGAACAAGCGTTCTCTTCAAAGTCCTCTCAGCCTTTGCTTTCAGAGACATTAGCCTGACCAAGATCGAGTCCCGGCCGCACCACAACCGTCCCCTCAGGGTCGTTGGCGACGGGAGCTTTGGCACGGCCAAGAACTTTGAGTATATGTTTTACGTAGATTTTGAAGCGTCGATGGCGGAGCCGCGTGCACAGAACGCGCTATCGGAGGTTCAAGAGTACACGTCGTTCTTAAGAGTGCTGGGAAGTTACCCCATGGATATGACACCATGGTCCATGACATCCACCGAAGAAGCATGACCCCATCGCCTAAAACAAAACCAATAAATTTATTGAATTATTATGTTTTTATTTTTTGGGTTGTTGTGAAAAAATGTACTAGTATATACTAAAATTAAATCGTAAATGTAGAGCTCGTTACTCACGTGGTGATTAGGAGAAAACAAATTGTTTTATTTGTCTGTTACTATAATACAAGATCTCTCTTACTTAATGGAGAAAACAAATTTTATTGAAGAGTTCCTTAATTTTATTTTGTAACACTCGTTTTTTAATCAAGAAAATCAAAGAATTAATGCATTTTAGAAAATCTGATTACATGTTCTTATTTTTGTTTAACCAACGTTATTAGTATTTAGTAATTAGTATATGTTGATTTTTCTAATTATGTTTTAATCATTAGGAATTTGAGATATATTAATTGAAGGCTTCATACCATTTAAAATTTGTTTATTTATCATTATATTTTACTATATTTTTTCTGTGAAGACTTCATCTACATGCATGCCAGTTCACTGTTGACCAAAGTTCTTACTAAACTAAGTTCAACAACTATATATATAAACGTGAAACAATCTCTACATGACCAAAAAGTCTAATGACCAACCAAGGTGAATGCGAAGAAAAGTTTGAATGATCAACTCTGCTAACGAAAGACCCAAAGTTCTATTAACTATTCATAAAATATATAAGCTAGCCTCCATTATATGTAAGTTAAAAGATATCATTATAGAATATTCAGTGAAATATTCAAGAGAGTTGCTCGAGAAAAGTCAAGGTCACGTGTGTGAACCCAAGTGTTCAACGTTTGTTTGTCTAAAACAAATCAACGAGTTTCGTCGTCTGATATTTCTAGGTAAGTCACAAGGAAATTGGCAATATATATAATTTTCAAGAAACCTACCTGTTCTAATATTGTAATACCCACATGCATTTTATATTTCCACCTCTAGTTCTTGGTGAGTAACGAGAGTGTACTAACTCTTCGAATGGCGAAACTTGAATTTTCTAATTCATTTTTTAGTTACAACTGTATGGAAATGTAACTCGGAAGCTATGAACAGAGGCGATCATTTCGAATGATCTAGCTAGAGAGACTTGAAATAAAAGAAATACAATAATTAAAAACAAGGTTCTATTACAAACAGATTTGGGACCAGTGAAACATTGTAGTCTGTTGCAGTTTTTATAAATCTTTATTTAGATATAGTATTATTATTTTTTTTTTGGAGAAAAATAACAATAGTCGAAAACAATGACTTGTGCTAACTTTATAGAAAGTTAGGTCTGGCTATAAAAACTTGTTACAGATCCGTATGAATTCACAGTCTAGCTAACCATATAAAGAGTCTTCCACCAAACATTTTTGTTAATTACCAACTAGGAGGATTTTAAACAAAACTCCAAACTAAACATCTAAAATGTATTTTAAAAAAGACTAGTTAATGTACTAACCAAAACGAGATTATATATAACATCTACGATCACGAATTTACCTGAAACATT